GTTTTGAGCGCCGCATCTCCCCATGGCGCTGTTCAACACGAGCTGCCTCTGGAAAAAACAGCCGTGCCCGCCTTTCCAGGCTATTTTTGAAGCCTTTGGCCTCGGCTCCTCTTCAGGCTCCAGCCCATAAATACCAATAACAACACATTTCAAGGCTTTCTGCTGACAGTCCCGGTGCTGCCAAAGCCTTTTCATTCTCCAGATGTTGGGAATCTGACTCAAAAACGCGAAGTTTGGTCAATATTTGGGCCGGGTTTGATTTCCAGCCTTTGCTTTTTCGATCACATGAAGCAGAGCAATAAAAGGCCTCAAAGTGGAGCATCTATTTCTGGAGGCAGTGGCCGGAGCATCCCCAGGGATGGGCTTCCAGTGCCAGGGTGCTGTGCCGGGGGTGACAGGGAGGTGGCACCAGCCCATCCCTGTAGGTGCCACCTTTGGCTTTGTTTGGGTCATTTGGACTTGGATGTGTTTGGGAGAGCAGCTCTGGTGTGACACAAGGGCAGCCAGGGCCAGCCCAGTCCCGCATCCCACACTCTGTATCCCATATTGAGTGTCCCATATCCCATACCCCATATTCCCATGCCCCGCACCCCATATTCCATATTCCACATCCCATATATCTTATACGCTGCATCCCATGTGCATCCCATATCCCACATTCCACATGTCATACCCCGCATCCCACATCCCATACCCCATATTCCCACATCCCACATTCCACATCCTATACCCCATATCCTACATTCCATATCCCCTTCCTATACCCCATACCCCATATCCTATATTCTATATCTCATATCCTGCCCCCATATCCTACATCCCACATTCTATATCCTGCACCCCATATTCCACACCCTGCATCTGACACCTCACGTCCTACACAAGCATCCCCCATCCACACTCTGTATCACATCTCCCATGCCCAAACACTGCATCCCGCATCCCGTGCCGCCCATCTCCTCCCAGCCCCACACAGTGGTAGGGAAAGGAGCCGGGAATGTGCCTCTCCCCATCCGCCCAAGTGCTCCGGGTCCTTCAGGGCCGCGCTGGCCCTGCCAGTGTTGCCTTCCCTTGGGCGCTGTTTCCCTGCTAAGGAACGTCAGCAGGAAAAGCATTAAAAACACCAGGATTTTAGCCCAGGTCCTGGAAAAAAAAAAGAGCGTTTCAGGTTTCTCCCCACCAGGCCCCGCTCCCGGCTTCCCAAAAACCAGCCCATGCTGCGGCTGCAGCTCAGCGCATCCCCAGGGATGCAGCCGGGGGCTCCCCACCCACTACCAAGAGCCGGCACCTCCCTACCCGCAGCCAGGGAGGCTGGATGGGGACACCCCGGGAAGGCCTGGTGTGGGTTGGATGGCACGGAGCCAGAAGCCAGGGCCGGATCCTGCCCATTGCCCCCCCCGAGCCAGGGCAGGGAGTGGGGCTGTGCTTCGGACTGGTACCACCCACCCCATCACCCCACCACCAGCCTCCCCAGTACCCCAGGTGCCCCATCACCTGGTTATCCCACACTCCAGCCATACCCAAGGTAGCTCTGAGCCCAGGCTTCCCAAACCCTACCTTGGGTATCCCATAACCCCATTACTCTGTACCCCTGGTACCCCATACCTTAGGTAGCCCATACCCGTAATTCTCTATAGCCAAGGTACCCCATAACCACACCTCATTTCTCCATACTCCATGTACTCCACAGCTTGGGTTCCCCATACTCTCATTTCTCCATACCCCATGTGCCCCATATCCCCATTTCTCCATACCCTGGGTTCTCTGTGCCCCCAGTTATCTATACCCCGGGTACCCCATACCCTGGGTTCCCTATCATATACCCCTAATTCTTTATAACTGAGGCACTCAGTGCTCTGGGTACCGCATTTACACCCCCCAAATACCCCCACACCCCCATTACCAGGGGATGCTTGGCCCTGTTCCCCCCTCCATGAGCACTGGCCCCACTGCCAGCTACATGGAGCTTCACCCCCCATGTGTGGCCCCCCAGCTCCCTGGCTCTCCTGCAGTGAGCCGCAACATGTTGCCCAGTCCTGCATCCCACCTCTGTATCCTATGTCCTATACCCCACACCCCACAATCCGCATCCCATATCCTATATCCTGCATCCCGTATGTGCCTTTCCCAGCGCCGGCTCAGGGAGGACCCAGCGGCCGTTCACCTCCCCCGGAACCACATGATTTCCTGGAAAATCCCGTTTTTGGGGAAGTGAAACTGCTCGGTTCGGGGCAGAGCTCCCACCTGCCTCCCAGCACCGAGGGCTCGTGCCTGGATGAAGGCTGGGATGAAGGACCCGCTGCCACCAAGGAAGCGGCCTTGGAGGACCTATGTGGCCTTGGCCTTCGGGATGGCCGTCGTGGTGCTGGTGGCCGCACTCCCCACTGCCCTCTGGCCGCTGGCCACGGGCTCTGCCATGGTGGGGAACTGCTCTGCGAGGCTGGAGGGCCTGGAGGAAGCTTTGGCCACCACCAACCAGTCCCTTGCCAAAGCCCACGGGCAGAGGGATGACTGCAAGAGGCAGCTGGTAGGTGCTGGGTGACGCTGGGGTCCTGCAGCCCCCCCCGTGCCCCCGAAGTGGGTGCGTGTGGGTGCTTTGAGGAGCCCCCAGCCCCTTTGCTCTGGCAGAGCCTGCTGCAGGGGAAAGCTTTGGAGCTGGAGGTGGCGCTTCACAACGTGAGCCAGCTGCAAGGTGGGGGCAGAGCAGGAAAAGGGGTGCAGGGGGGTGGGTGCAGGCAACAGCCCCTGAGATACCCTGATCCAATCTGCTGGGACACCCTCATCCCATCCGCTGGGATACCCTGATCCCATCCCCTGGAACACCCTCATCCCACCCCCTGTGAAACCCTGATCCCATCCCCTGGGACACTCTCATCCCATCCCCTTGGACAGCCTCACCCCATCCCTGGGACATCCTCATCCCATCTGCTGGGATACCCTTATCTCATCCCCTGGGTCACCCTCATCCCATCCCCTGGAACACCCTCATCCCATCCCCTTGGACAGCCTCACCCCATCACCTGGGACACCCTGATCCCATCCCCTGGGTCACCCTGATCCCATCCCCTGGGTCACCCTGATCCCGTCCCCTGGAACACACTCATCCCATCCCCTGGAACACGCTAATCCCATCGCCTGGGACACCCTGATCCCATTTGCTGGGACACCCTCATCCCATCCTCTGGAACACCCTCATCCCATCCCCTGAGACACCCTGATCCCATTTGCTGGGACACCCTGATTCCATCCCCTGGGACACCCTGATCCCATCCCCTGGGACACCCTGATCCCATCCCCTTGGATAGCCTCACCCCATCCCCTGGGACATCCTCACCCCATCCCCTGGGACATCCTCACCCCATCCCCTGGGACATCCTCATCCCATCTGCTGGGATACCCTTATCTCATCCCCTGGATCACCCTCATCCCATCCCCTGGGTCACCCTCATCCCATCCCTTGGGACACCCCAATCCCATCCCCTGGGACACCCTGATCCCATCCGCTGGGACACCCTCATCCCATCTGCTGGGATACCCTGATCCCATCCCCTGGATCACCCTCATCCCATCCCCTGGATCACCCTCATCCCATCCCTGGAACACCCTCATCCCATCCCCTGGATCACCCTCATCCCATCCCTGGAACACCCTCATCCCGTCCCCTGGGTCACCCTCATCCCATCCCCTGGAAAACCCTCATCCCATCCCCTGGAACACCCTCATCCCATCCTCTGGGTCACCCTCATCCCATCCCCTGGATCACCCTCATCCCATCCCCTGGAACACCCTCATCCCATCCCCTGGGTCACCTTCATCCTGTCCCCTGGGTCACCCTCATCCCATCCCTGGAACACCCTCATCCCATCCCTGGAACACCCTCATCCCGTCCCCTGGGTCACCCTCATCCCATCCCTGGAACACCCTCATCCCATCCCCTGGAACACCCTAATCCCATCCCCTGGGTCACCCTCATCCCATCCCTGGAACACCCTCATCCCATCCCCTGGAACACCCTCATCCCGTCCCCTGGGTCACCCTCATCCCATCCCTGGAACACCCTCATCCCATCCCCTGGGTCACCTTCATCCCATCCCCTGGATCACCCTCATCCCATCCTCTGGAACACCCTAATCCCGTCCCCTGGGTCACCCTCATCCCATCCCCTGGAACACCCTCATCCCGTCCCCTGGGTCACCCTCATCCCATCCCTGGAACACCCTCATCCCATCCCCTGGGTCACCTTCATCCCATCCCCTGGATCACCCTCATCCCATCCCCTGGACACCTTCCCCGCTGCCTTTGCTCCCTGCAGGGGAGAACAGGGCGCTGCAGGCAGCGGTGGCACAGCAGCAGCAGCAGCTCGAGGACCTGCAGGGCAGCAGGTGAGCCCCACGTCCCCCACGTCCCCCCCAGCCCCACGCTCTGTCATCGACTGCCCCTGTGTGTGTGTCCCCTCCAGGGACCAGCTCCAGCAGCAGAACCAGCGCCTGCAGCAGCAGCTCCAGGCCATGAGGAGGCTGTACTCGGATGGGACCAGGCCCTTGGATGCATCCCTCGGCCTCCTGGTTCTCCTCCTCACCAGGATGCTTCTGTGAGGAGCATGGACCCCGCTGATTGTCCCATCTGCTCCCCATGGAGTGATGGCCCTCAAGCCACTAAGGACTGTGCCCAGGGTGAGGAGGGGACAGAGGCATGGCAGGGCTGTCCAGAGCTACTCTAGTTATAGAATCACAAAATCATAGAATGGTTTGGGTTGGAAAGGACCTTAAAGCTCATGCAGTTCCAACCCTCTGCCATGGGCAGGGAGTTAAGTGACTTTCAACCAATTTCCAGTAAACCACTGTGAAAATGAAGCGTTTTGTTGCTCCAGAACCTCTTGGAGAACCAAAGCCCCATCTCTGCTGCACTGGGGTCGAGAGGGTGCTGTAGCAGCCCCTCAGCATCCCCAACTGGACCCCAGCTGCATCCCTGCTTGTCCCTGTGGCTGTGTCCCAGGGCTGGGCGCAGGGACAGAGCATCCTCCAGCACAAACAAGAGCTATTCTGGGCTGTGACCTGCGAGGAACCGCAGCCCAAAGCGGTGCCTGGGGAGAGCAACCCACACACCACAATTGCAGCAACCCAGGGAGCGACCTGCCCCGGGGACACCGGCACAGCCGGGCAGCCACCGCTGCAGCGGGTGCACGGTCCCTGCTCCCCCTCCGCCATGGACCCCGCGGTGCCCAGAGCCACGCTGAAGGTGCTGGGGCTGTGCGCGGCGCTGCTGGTGCTGGTGGCGGCGGTGACGGTGGCTGTGGCGGTGATGGTGTGGCGCTCCGAGGCGGTGGGCAAGCTGCGGGGCTGCCGGGAGCAGGCGGCCAACGCGAGCCGGGAGCTTGGGAATGCCGTGGCCGAGCTGGAGCGGGAGCGAGCGCGGCTGCAGCGGGCGCAGGATGCGCTGCGCAGGGAGCTTGCCCAGGCCCATGGGGACAGCAAGAAGCTCAATGGCAGCCTGGTGTCCTGCCGGGAGCGAGCGGTAGGTGATGGTGGGCATGGGGACAGGAGGGTCCTCGGCCACCTGCGTGCGTGGGGTGAGCGGTGGTGGGGCGGAGAGGGGGGTTCTGGCCTCAAGAGCAGGGTGATGCTTCATCCCTTGTGAGGGATTTCACCCAGGCGCATGGGAAGCACCGGCACTGATGGGAAGGATGCTGCAAGTTGGAAAGATGAGCCAGGAAAGAGGAGATTCAGCCCTGGGATGAAGGACCAGCAGCACCCCAGGGTGTGCGGCCACATTCGTGCGTGGGACACCCCAAAAGGGGAACCCTGGTGGGTCCCAGTTCCTCAGCACAGCCCCAGGGCTGCCGTACCCCTGCCCATGTGCCTGTGCCGGTGCCTGGTCTGGGGCAGCTATTCTGAGCTGTGGCCGAGCTGCTCCATGCACGTATAATTACCCCGTCCCAAGGAGCCAGTGAGGAGCTGCCATTCCTCTGCTCCCAGGTATTTTTAGCTGCAGCTCCAGCTGGGAAAGGGCCTGGCCCCAGTGCCGTGGCCACAGCCCGGAGGAAGAGCTGGGTCCCGCGCCCTCCGGGTTCATCCGGCTGAACAATGGAGCAGAGAGGCTGGAAAAGTGCTCCTGCTTCCCAGGGCTGGCGCCGGGCTGGGCACTTGCTTGGGGAGCCCTGTCCCCTCCCAGGGGTGCCATCCATGGGGACCTGGATCTGTGTGCTCCAGCATCCTCCCCAGGCTCAGGCAGGGCCATCCCCACAGGGAAGAGTGATTTCCCCACATCCTCATCCCTGCTCCTTCAGTAAACATAGCTCCCAGACCACCGGGAGCACGGGGACAGCCTGGGGACATGGGGTGGCGGTGAGAAGGGGCAGGACACTGCCCACCCTTGTCCCCAGGCCAGGCTGGTGGCCAATGTGACAGCGCTGGGGGAAGAGGTGCTGGCCCTGCAGCGGGAGCGGGATGAGCTGGCCCGTGGCAAAGCGGCTCTGGAAGGTGAGCGATGTCCCATGGCAATGGTGGGCACAGGTCCCCCATCACACACCCACTGGGGAAAACGGGTGTTCCGGGCTCGGGGTGCAGGGTTTGGGGTGACGGTGCTGTCCCCATCGCAGGGGAGCTGGCTCGGGGTGAGGAGCAGGCGCTGGGGCTGCGGCAGCAGCTGGAGCAGGCGATGGAGCAGCAGCGAGCGCTGCGGGCACGCAGGGAGCGCTGTGAGGCCCGGCACAGAGACCTCGAGGCCACCCTGTAAGGTCCCTGTCCCCCAGCACGGGCTGGGGACCGCCACGCATCCCATCACCCCGAACCAGCCTGACCCATGGGGACCATGGGCACCCCTTCACGTGGCTCCATGTCCCTGCAGGAGGGACTACGCGGCCCAGGTGGATGCTCTGCGGCGGCAGGCGAGGAACCGAGCGACCGGGCGCAGGTGCCCCCCACCCCGGTATTCCTGCATGGCCGGGGGGAGGACATACAGCCCTGGGGGGGGATTCACCCACCGTGATGTGCCGGTGTCAGCGGTGTCCCCGGGGTGCAGCACCTGAGGTGTGCAGGGACTCACTCACTGCCCTCCCCTCTCTTGCAGGAAGGGCTGAAGAGCCGCAGCCCCCAGACCCCCTCCCTGATGGGGGCTTGGGGCTGGGCCCCCCACCTGCTGAGCCCATCATTGCCAGTCTCACAGCACCCTTTAGCACTGGGACCCAGAAGCCACTCAGCCCCGGCCACTTCTGACCGGCACCAGCGCATCCAGATGAAGGAGGTTGGTGGTCACTGTGTGTCCCGACCCCACCGTGTGTCCCGATCCAGCCATCTATCCTGATCCAGCTGCCTGTCACGATCCTGCCATGTGTCACGATGACTCCACTGTGTCCCAAAGCCACCACATCCCGATCCAGCTGCCTGTTGTGAAGCTGTTGCGTCCTGATCCCACTGTGTCCCGATGCCACCACACATCCTGATCCTCTTGTGTGTCTCAATGCCACCACCGCAGCAGGACCAGAGCATGGGATCACCCAGCTTTTTGGGCAGAGCTTTAGCTCAACCACTGACTCCTTGGAGCTGCTTTAATCAGTTCCAGGGTCTAACGCCACATTCCCAGTGCATTCCAGAAACTGGGAAGACTGGGCAGGGGTTTGGGCAATAAAGGCTGCTCTGTTCCCTGAGATGATCCCCCCAACCCTGCTCAAGCACCACACACACCCCAGGGCTTTAACTGCCACCGCTGGCGCTAGAAGGGACCCCGAAGTCACACTGGGGATCCAGTGCCAGTGACAAAAGGAGGTGGGAATGGGGGACCAGTGGCTGCTGCTGTTTTGCAGCCACTTCCCAGGATCTTTGATCCTCTTTGAAGAAGGTTTCCAGGAAAGTTGCCGATTTTCCTGCTGCCGCCGCCGCCACGATATCCTGTGCAGAGGGCAGGCAGGCTGAACACAGGCATCCGGCCTCCTCCTGCTGCGCTTCCCATGGGACATCACCCCCGTGCCCCCCGACTTTCCAGGGAAGGGCTGCAGAGCCTGCGATTGAGGGACCAGCCCCATTCCCGCAGCCTGAATCCGGCAGTGCCAATGAACCTCAGCCCCGCAGCGATTTGGGATGGGGAGGACAAGCAGGCACAGCCATTCCCATCATTTCCAATGGGAAAGGTTAATTACAATGGGGGACTAATTGAAAAATGGGGCAGAGGGAGGGTCTGCAGCGCTGGGGGAGGGAGGGTCCCCGATGGGAGTCACTGGTGAGCCCAGGAGGCTGTGGGAGTCCTCGGGATGCTGCTGGAGCATCCAACTGGCTTCGGTGCCGGGGGTCCGGCCGAGCCCCGGCAGCGGGACCAGGGGGGCCAGGGGGTGACTCACCGTTATTTGCAGCTCAGGAAGGAAACGGCAGTAGCGGTGAATGGATCCAGGCCTGACACCATCCCGGCCATCGCAGACACTTCCCGGTCCCCAGGGAGCGCGGTGCAGCCAGGAGGCAGGAAGCAGTGAGCGGCTTGGGGTCAGCGCCGGCACAGCCCTGGCCAGGCATCCTGCCGAGCCTGGGGGGGGTCAGGGCACATCCCAGCGCTCCCGCGGGGGGGCACAGGCTGGAAATGCCCATGGCTGGGACCCCACCATGGTCCAGCTCAACCCAGCCCCCCCATCTGTGCTCACGAGTGCTGAGGGTTGGAGAGACAACATCCCCCCCCCCCCCCCAGTGCTGCCTGTGCCGGCTGCCGCCCCTTTTCCCTGTATCAAGGACCCCCCCCCCAGTGTCCCCAACCTGTCCCCAAGCCAGCCCGCACCTGCAGGCTCTCCCCTCAGCTTGGTGTGGGCACCCCGGATTTGGAAGAGGGCAGGGGAGACAGCGCCCACCCTGTGGCTCTTTCCATTCATGCTCAGCTGGGCTGAGCCACCGTGGGGCCAGGGCCACACATGGGGCCAGGGCCACCAGTGCTCCACATGGAGCTTGGCTGGGCTTCCTCAGCAGACCAGACGTTTGGCCGTGCCCATGGGAATGGACAGGTCTGGATTTGCCCCTTGCTCCCCTCCATCAGCTGCTCTGCCCAGCAGAGATGTCCCTGCGCAGGGACCAGGACCGGGAGCAGCTTCCCAGGCCCTGCAGCTGGATGGTGACTCTACAGTGTGACAGCACCCATGGGTACCACGGCCACAGGTTCCCCCCCCCCCAGCCCAGGGCCACCCTACTGACGATCCAGGGCCTGGCCCCATCCTTCCCCTGCCCACAAGTTACCTGGGAGGTGCAGGAGAGGACACAGAGCATCAGCCCCTGTGTGCCACCAACCCAGCAGTGACCCATGTGCCACCGTTCACCACAAGGACACAGCACCGGCACCAACCCAGCGCAGGATCCTCCTCCATCACCCCCCAGCGAGTGCTGGCAGCTGCATCCCACCCTGCCTGCCCTGGGGACTCATCCCAGGGCATCCCGGCCGCGCTGGGGGCTATTTTGGGATCAGAACTGGTCCTTGCCCATTAGCAACCGCAACAGTCGTCTTCTCGCAAACAGAAGCTGCGTCGTGATAACTCGGTGGGTCGGGAGCATCCGGAGAGGCAGGAAGGAGCCCGGCAGAAGGAAATATTCACTGGAGCAAGATAAACACAGCGTCGGGAGAACGCTCCGCCCCGGCTTGGCCAAAAAGAGGCTGCCCCGGGCTTGGGGTGAGCAGAGCATCAGCGGGATGGAGAAGAGCAGCTACCCCATGGCCAAGTTCGGACTGGAGGCCAAGGAAGTGATGCCCAAGCAGGACTGTGGGTTTTACGTGAAGTACATCTTCCTCTTCATCTCCCTCATCCAGTTCCTCATCATCCTGGGGCTGGTGCTGTTCATGGTGTATGGCAACGCGCAGGCGGGCACCGACACTCACCTCCGGCTGCTGGAGGAGCAGCTCCAGGATCGCTACAGCAAGATCATTGCCCTTGGTGAAAGGAACATCAACCTGACCCGCACGCTCAATGCCACCCTCAAGGAGAAGCAGAGCCTGCAGGCCCTTGCCCAGAAGGTGCAACGGGAGCTGGAGAAGTGCAACAGCTCCCAGACTCCCAACCCCATCCCCAAGGTGAGCACACATCCCTGCGGAGGGATGGCAGAGCCCCCTGTTGGGTACCAGGAGCAGCGAGCGAGCCATGGGTGTTGCAAGGACCCACAAGCTTCAAGCCCCGCAAGCTTCAGCAGGGATGGGTGACAGGGTGCTGGGGGCAGAGCCTCTGGCGATGACAAATTGCCCTCCACAAGTCCCCGGGACGGGTCCCAGTCTCTGCTCTAAGGGCTTCCAATCTTGAAGCCCTCTTCACCCTCATCCTGCTCCTTATCCTCTTTCTTCTCTTCCTCATCCTCCCCAGCCTCAGCAACCCCCAGTGCTCTCAGCAGTGCCTGGGGAGGGGGAGGCACTGTGGGGGTCAGGGATATGTTTTAACCCCCCCTCCTCTTCCTCACCCTTCTTCAGCTGCAGGAGATGATGAAGATCATCTTCTACCAGAAGACTAAGCTGGACGAGTGCCACATGACCATCGGCCTCATCAACGCCAGCTGCAGCAGTAAGGAACCCCCCCACCCTGGGCACCCCCTTCCCAACACCCGGGGTACCCCCTGCACCCCTCAGGGACCCACTGCAGGCTGCGCAGGTGGGACTGCAGGATGACAGCACCCATGGGTGTTCCCCCAAGGTGTGGGGTGGGATTTGGGGGGGGGGGGGGGGGAGGACCACACACCCCAACCCCACACATCCCCCTGTACAGCCGATAAGGTGCTGCTGCGGAGCCAGCTGGACCAGGCAGCCCAGGCCAAGAAGGAGCAGGAGGAGAACTGCCGCAAAGAGGGGGCTTTGCTGAGTAAAGCCACGGCGGAGCAGGAGAGCTGCCAACAGGAGCTGCGCAGCAGCCAGAGCCTCCTCGAGTCCACCCGGCACAACCTGGAGCTGCACAAGCAGGAGTGCAGCACCCTGAGGTCCGACGTCAGCTACTCCTTCCAGCGCATCAAGGAGATGCTCAGCCCCTACAGCTGCACCGCGGTCCACGACCAGCTCAACTGGCTGACCCAGCGCACGGAGAGGCTGTTCCTCTGGCAGCAGGACCGCGACACCAAGTATGTGGGGAAGAGCGTGTGCGAGGCGAGCCTGAGCCAGTGTCAGCAGAACTGCTCCAGGGAGAAGCAGGAGCTGGAGAAGCGGCTGCAGGGCAGTGAGAAGCAGGTCAAGGGAGGCCAGGAGGAGAAGAAGAAGCTGCTGGCGGAGAAGGAGCAGCTCGGCAAGGAGCTGGAGGAGAAGAGCAAAGCAGCCGCGCAGGCTTGGTACTTCAAGGACCAGCTCAGCATCTGCATGGGCTCCAAGGTGAGGGAGATGCTGGAGACATCCCCCGGCACCTGGGGGTCTTTGTTGTGTGTGGCCGCATTTCTCCCAGCACAGCCACGCTTATGCGCTGGGCAAAGACAAGAGGTCGCAGCACCCTCAGGTCCCCTTCACCCCAGGGTGCTGTGGCAGCAGTGACAGCACTGATGGCCTCCATATACTCTCCTTCACAGATGGACACTTTCTTCGACATCACAGGCTCCCGGGTGCGGCCGGGACCCTTCGCCAGCACAAGCACCCTTGTGGATGCCCTGCGGAACCAGGGCATCTTTGGGAATATGGGTGAGTTGTAGGGGGGAAGCTCTGTGGGACCCTGCTGGCCCCCCTCCCTCCTGGCACCCAGCCCTGCTCAGGGCTGCTCCATCCCACCAGGCAAAATCAATGCGGAGGAGATCCAGCGCTCGGTGCAGAAGATCATGGAGCAGTACACATCCACCCTCAAGATCCCCAGGTGAGGGGGGCTGGCGCGGGACCTCACTGGGCTGGGGGGATACCAGGCGGGGGAGCAGCACCAGGGTCTGATCCTGCCCTCTCCACAGCGGCTAACAGCAGAGCTTCACATGGATTACAGCAGCGAGGGGTTCCAGGACCAGCCTAGGCAGCGCTTCCAGCAGCACAGATGGCAAATCCTGGCCGAGAGCGAGCAGGAAGCCCTTGGCCATCCCAACCCCAGTGCAGCGGGAGCCGGGGCCACCCTTCCCTGTCCCTTTCCCTGTATCCCTGCGCTCATCCCATCCCACATGCTCACCTCCCCCCTGCATGTACTTGGCAGCTGTAAATAGAGCCGGCCCTGAGCACCAACACTGCTCGCCACATGAGTGTCTGCATGCCTGTGAGCGGGATACAGAGGCCATGGCCAGGATGGGGAGTGGGAACATCCCATCCCAGCTTCACATTCTCCTTGGGGGCAGGAAGCGTGCAAGGCCGAGCGAGCGGGAAGCTCTTGGCAGCCTCATCCTGCCACGGAGCCCCCTCGGTCCCCCAGGCCGCACCGGGGCCATGATGAATCTCCGCCTGCCACTCGCTGATTTATGGCCGTGCTTCCCGCTCCTTCCTGTTGAAAGAGCCTTTCCTGCTGGCCAGGCTGCCCGCACGCCATCCCCTGCCAGCACGCACAGCTCCCAGCGTGGCCCATTCCCTTCTCCAGCCCCAGCCAGCACCCCCAGCTCGCATTCAGGTCCCCAAAGTCCCACATGGATCCCCCAAACCTGATCCATCCTGGGATACAGGCAGCAACGTGCTCCTGCTGTGTTCCACTGCCCAAGGATGGGGTCAGCACCGATACCCCCATCCATGCCCAGCCCCCAGGATGGGAATTGGGTTGATGGAGGGGCTCCCCCATGTCCCAGCTACTGGGGGACCAGCTCGCTGCCAGAGGATCTCCTGGAGCTCCACTACAAATAAACTTGTAGCATCAGGCACTTGCAGAGCTTGGGAGCCCCAGAGGAGGGGTGGGAGAGCAGGGGGACCCCAAGGAGCACCCATCTTTGGGGATGCAGAGCCCAAAGCTACCACTTGGGTGCAAGGGCTGGGGGCACCCCACAGCTCTCTGAGCTGGAGCTGAACTCAGGGGCTCCCAGACTCCTTCGCTAATTCCCAGGGCTGTGGGGGGTACTTGGGGGGCAGGGATGGACCCCAGCAGGGTGCCAAGCCCCACATTTGCCATGCCATGGGATGCCCCAGGGGGGAAGCCCGAGGTGGCTTTTCCCTTCCAGCCACTCCAGCTCCTTGTTTATCCTCCTGGCCAGGAAATGGGGCCTCTCCCAGTGTTTTTTTCCATGTCTGGGGCTCGGGACACGCTCCCCCCAGTCAGGAAAACACCGCAGCCCAGCATGGGAACACCGAGCTCTGCAGCCACCAGGG